GTATTTCAAATTGGCTGCTCGTGTTTAATGGATGGTTTTGTCCTTGGTCTCTTTGTTTCATTTTCTGTCCTGTAAAATGATACTAATAATGCCTTCTCATCTACAGTAATGTTGTAACAAATTCATTAACTTTTCTGAAGAACTTAGAAAATGATAGTGATGAATACTATAGAAAGCCATATTAGAAATTAATTCCATCTTTGGAAAAGGGCTTGTGTAGCATGTAGTAAATGAGGCATGGACCCAACACTGGGTACTGAACACAGAACAAAATGTTGAATAGCTGCCCATTAGGTGAGCACTCACCCAAAAATAATTCAAGGCACCCTTGATTGTAGTGGTTCATTTTACAGTCTTAATACTGCTTTGTAACATACCTTTTCATATATAACTTTGTTACAAATTTATACTAAGCATATTCAATTTAATTTTTTTTTTAATAATTATCAGTGTAATTATATATTCTCACAGAGTTCTAGTGGCACTCAGAAATACTGAAGTGCTTCTGTCTGACCTTTGTTCTTTTGGGAATATTCTGACATTTTTAAAATCACAGTTTTCTTCCAATACAAAAGTTTGAGTATGGGAATCGGTCTGATCCTTGCTGGATGTGAGTATAAAACTTCCATATTAAACCATCTTAACCATATCAAAAGTCATGGACCTTCATTAAAGAAACAGAGTGGTTTCTTGAAAATTAACAGCAATACTAGGGTTAAAGGATTGCTTTGAAATTTATTTTCTTCTTTTAATTAAGCATCTTTCTTCACCTAATTATTGTTGTGTTCTCACATGCCTTCATTACTGGTGTTTTGAATTGATTTTAATTACTCTTTTTGACTGGGAAACCAGTGAAGGGTTTTTAAGAAATCAAAATAGAGATGTGAAAAACTCAATAACCCTAAGTCCTTGTTATATTTGACCATTGATGATGTCAGGATGGTATTGTGTTCTTATCTCCTGACATTCCTTTTATACTTTATCCAGTGATTTCTTAGACAAAATGAAACAACATGCCTGGAAACAGAAATTAAACTGTAAGACACCCCCCCATCCCCCGCTGTAATTTGACTTCCAAGAGTCTCTTTCTCTCTGTGTCAATTGAATCTCTTTTCCCTGCTGCTTCTCCCTTGCCTACACTAAGGTGATGGGGCACACACCCTGCCAGGCAAAAGTAGGAGGAGTTGAGTTTAATATTAACAAAAAGAAGGCAGCCTACAATACATTTTCCTGGTGAGAACTCTGAAAAGAAGGCTCTGCTGCAGGGACACGGTGACTGATGTTTGGCAGTGGGAAGGAAAGCTGTTCTGCCTGCTGCAGTCTGTAGAAGGTGAAGCCTTCTGGAGGAGAGGGAGGTGATATTTCCCTGAGAGCTGCTGAATACATGTGGGGGAAGAGTCTCCTAAGATATAGAATGAAACAGATGGACAGAGTGAGAAAGGATAGTGAGACAGACAGCAGCAGGATGCAATGGGTCTTCTTTACCATCCCTTTTCATTTGTACTCTCACTTTGCATTTCCCCTTAAATTAGTTCTACTAATTTGTGTTCTAATAAAATCTAACTTTAGAGACTTCCAGAAATTTGGGAACTTAAAGTTAAGAATAGGTTCAGAGAAATATTTCTTAAAGTTTTGGCCAACCAGAACATATCCTGTGTATGAAAGTGAACATTTTCTCCAAGCTATGAAAGTTCTTCAGCATACTTTTGCAGTCCTCAGAAAGATGAGAAGGAATGCTTACTCAGTGTTAGTTCTTTCATTTGCACCTGACTTAATTTGCACTGTTGAATCACATAACTGCATTGAGGCAGTGCTGTCTGCTTCACTCAAGTCATACACACTTTAGGTATCTTCCCTGAATTAGAATTGTCTATGGAGAGATGTGTTTCTGCTTTGCAGCATCCAGTCTATGGTCAGAGATTTAATGGGTTGTCCTATGGCAGGTCTCTGTGCAATTAAAGGCCATAATTTGTGTTTGTTAGTGCTTCTGAGTAGTTCAGTGAAGATCTCTTTTCAGTTTTTAGGGCTGGCTTAGTGTAAATTGGGATATTGTGGGTATAAAAGGCTCTCTATATAACTAACCCTTACTGTTTTTTCACAATTTACTCTTTCAAGTGTACTGTAGGTAAAAATGCAGTAAAAAAAAAAGTGTAAGTATTTTACTTATTTGTTACAGGTAGAAAATTTATGAGAGACTGTGTAGTTTAACATCTTTTATCAATGTGAGGACTTTTCCTGCATTCCTTGAAAAATAAGTTCATATTTTCTTGGCTGTTATCAAGTAAAACATAAATTTAAAATAATTACAACAAACAATAACAAAACCCAGGAAAAAAAGATTCCTAATGTTTTAAAAGTAAATGACCAATTTTTTTTTAAACTTGTATGCAAAAGAGCTGTTCATTCATATTACGAGGAGGCAAGAGTCTCCTGTATCTATTCCGAATTTGGGGGTTTGATGGGACCTTAACTATATATATCTGATGGTTTTTTGACTGATACTCTGCATCTCTGAGAGGACACAATCTGGGCTTAGAAGGCTTTAGCATATTTAAATGGTAATTTGCCATGTCTTGTGAGAAAATCGTTGATACTTTGTCCAGTAGGCTTGTCTGTGCTGCTTCTTGCATCTTGTAGCCCTTGCTGTAGCCAGAATTTCTGTAGGAGTGCATTCTATGGTGCTGGTCAACCATACCTTTACAAAAAATCTGCAAAGAATCATGCTAAAGCAGTCATCTCTGTTTTGCGAGACTCCAAGTTGACGGCATCAGGAGATTTAGTGTATCTGTACATTATCCCCAGCCTTTTGGCCTTGCTGCTTGTGATTATTAAAGGATTATTAATCCATTTAATGGGGTCAATTTCTACTTGTCATCTTTTCCTGTCCTGTTACCTTCAAATATGTTCTGGTGCAATAGTAATCTTACTGTTAAACATGTAGATATGGCACAATAGAGTCAATGAGACTTATTAATTCGATTTCCATAGCCAGATTTGCATAACTTTTCACCTTTGAAGGTCATGGTAATTCCTTTCCTGTAACTCATTTGTGGGTCCCTTCCAACTCAAGATATTTTATGATTCTATGAACCTTTATTTTCTACTTTTCCTTCCACACAAAACAAAACAAAAAAACCCAAACCAACCCAAACCCATTTTCTTTAACTATTAAGACAGTAGCATGGACTGTGTTTGTGCTTCATTGACCAAAAGGTTTTTTCTCTTTCTATGTCAGCCTTCCCACGAGATACAAGAGTGGTTTTTTTTCAGATGATGTGTTGCTGCAGGAAAGATGATTGTCAGCAGTAAGGAAACTATTGAGTCCAACAAAAGGCTGACACAGCTTTTTTTTCTGCTTTGGCTTAATCTTTCACTCTCTTTGTATTTACTGATTTTGTTTTTATGATCGCATAGTTTCTCTTTCTAACGTACTGCTTGTGCGGTGGTGGTGACTAGCAGAATGCCATCAAGACAGGGATCAAAACAGAACTTCAAAATGATTCACTAGGATGTAGCATCAAAGATGAATTGCCACACTTTAACCATATTTTAACATGTATAAAATAATAATCTAATCATGTACACTTACAATTCATCTCCTTATTTCCTGTGACAGAGGTTAAAAATAATCTTTTGATCCCTGTGGAACTGTAATGGTCAAAGATTTAGAAGATTTATTCTGTTAGAGCTGAAGATATCTGCTCGTGTAACAGAGCATTCAAGATCCATCCACCACACCCACCTATGATTCACAACTGTTGAACAAGAACCATTTATCTGTTAACACAATTTGCATCTCTGGGGGTTCTGCTGATTCCCAACTGTCTGACTGTACTGAACATTTGTTACTGGGATTCTACATGGCTCCCTCTATGAATTGCAGCATTTCTTGTGACTGTTTTTTTTACTTACATTATGAAGGTGCTGGAAACCCGATTCATCGTCATGAGTCTGCTTCTACCCCTTCTCCCTGCAGAAACGTCCCTTTTCAGTCATTCCTTGAGCTATGACCCAAGTAAGGGTTAATCTCGTTCCTCCAGCTTCAGGAACACAACAGGATAACTCAAACATCAGGTCTTCTGCCTTGTCCCAATGTTTTTTGCTCCTTTCAGGAAGGAGCATGATTTGGACCATCTGAAGATGACTGTTTCTCTCATCTGCACCTATGCAGCTCTAGGGTGTTGTTAGTGTGCAGTGATGGAAACAGAATGCATGGAGCTGCCTGGCAGACTTTGTTCCATTCACAGGTTGAAAGAAAAATGTGTAGAATAAATGCCAGTTGGGAGTGAAATATAATCTTTTTGAGGAATACTGAACAGCCACTTGTTTCTCTTGGATGAAACATTTATATCACTTGCCAGTTACAAAATCTTTTAAAATTTAGAAAGGAAACACTTGATGATCACGTAATTTCTCTTAAAAGTTCCATTGTGCCATTAAATTATTAGCAATCTTATTTACTGTAATATCATGCCTTCATGCTATATAATTTTAGTGTAGATGCAACTTTTTCCCCCAAATTTTTAAACCTAGTAATTCTAAAGTTGTATTATAGTGATGGAGTAGTGTAAACTATTTATATAACACAGTAAAGCACATGACTATAATAAAGAAATAAATATTTAAATGGATTTTGAACAGAATATTTGAATAATTATTTCAGAATAAAATTAAGGAACTAATAACACTCTAACAACACTTGATACTGTATGTTGGAATAATCACAATGAATGACTATTTCAAGTTATGTGTAATTTAGTTATTTAGTTATTTTTTCTTGATTTTATTTTTTTGGTTACTGCTTCACTTAATTTTATTTTTTAATTGCTTCAAGACATTATAGTGCAAATACTTAAGCAGTGAAATGTGTGTGAGTAGTTCTGACTTGTAGATTACTCCATGAATTTTAAAATAAATGTGAATGGTAAATTTTATGTGTTTGCATAATATATAATAATATATATACACTTTATTATTTTTAATTTTTTTTTTCCCCACAGACAGCCTTTTGATTGACTACCAGTTTACCTTCAGCTTATTACAAGAGGATGACCGCCATCACACTGCCATAAACTTTATAGCAAATCCAGAACAGGTAACAAAATGTTAATAACTTCAGTCAAGTTTTGAAGAGTCATGATTAAGATTTCTGTTGTATTTGACATTGATTACAAGTTTCCCAAGTGTCTACAAAGCTTTAGAGATAGTTCAGATCTTTTTGAGAACTGAAAAATTATTCATGCATGCACTGAGAAAACTTCCTAAGTGGTAGATGTACTTCAGCTCTATCAGTACTCTGAAAAATTATCAGTTGGTTTATTTTATTGTTGCTCCCATCAATAAGTTTTAGTATCTTCATGAGATGAAATAAAGAGGTATATCTTTCAGTTAAGAAATCTTTTTTTAGATGAGAAAAATAATTTTTGGCTTGTGATTAAAATGTAGGCGTTTGCCATCTGTTTTTTTTCTTTCGTTTCATAAAGAAAATGATTGTTATTCTTCGCAAAATCTAAAAAGCTAAGTGGTGTAGTTATATGTTTCCTTGTTCCATGTTCTTATGAAGCAAAAGAGAGAATTGCCTTTGGCAATTACCATTTCTATTTATGTTTAAAATTAAAACCGTAAGATAATTAAAAGGTATATTCAGTTATGTGCAATAGAGTTACATGTGCACAGTTACATGCAATACATTCTGATAGGTTTTTTAACTTTTTCTCTTTTTTTTTTTTAAATTTAGTCAAATAAAAATTTGGACATATCAATTAATGCATCAAACAACTTCAACCTCAATATTACATGGTCTATTGGTTCTACAGGTGAGAGTGAGTTTTGGTATGATGGTTTTTTCCCATACGATTTCATGATCCTCTAAGTTATTTTAACCTGATTGTCTCTTTGTTGCTAATTTTGATAATAAAACTTTACCAAATGTGTTCTTTTGCCATTATCATTATGCCGTTATTAATTATATTATTTAAACCTCAGATGATAATTTGCAATCTGAATAAAGCTTCATTAATATGTTGACTTTCTCTCCTATTCAATTAAAATTGCTTTGGTGGGAAAAGCTTGTAGCCTATTTAAATTTTTGGAATGACTGTGTTATGAAATGCTGTGATTTTAATTAAGATAAATTGCTTCCTTAACTACTGCAGAGACTGAGATTTTATTTCTTTGTTTCAGTGTTCAAGTTAAAAATTTAATTATTAACCTTAACATTGATATCCAACAATAAAGTTCTTCTGTGTATGCTGATAAAAGCAGCTGCTTATCTATTTTTTTTCCAACTTTGAACCCCATTACTCTTCTTTGTTTTAAGAAGAGGGAAGAGAAGCTTTATTTAGATGGTTTTTCTGAACTGGTTCTATTGACTTTCTGAAAACAAATCCAAGGAGAAGTATAATGCTTAAAATGAAATCATACAAAAAAAAATCTTGTTAAAGAAGGTTCGGAGTTTGTCTTAAACTCATGAAATTCTTCATCAATGAAATTCTGAAGTATTTTAGCATACCCTAGTTAGTAAATTTTATTTATTCCTTTATTATAATTTAACAGAGTCATCCATGTATTTGCAAAACATGATAAATATTTATTCGTAGTTATGTTATTAACGCTTTCATGAACAATTAAAAACTCTACAGCAACCATGTAAGATGTAGACAAATTCATTTTCAGGTTCTAATGAGCTATGTGTTTTTACTGTAAGAAAAAGTAAATTATAGAGGAAAGCTTATTATCTGTTCAGCTGACTATAACAACTTTCTTCTAAAATTCACGTAACTTCTGCCACTTTTATGATTCATATATAATCTTTTGAAACCAAAGTAACAATTTCTTTGAATTCAGTGTATGTATATGGAATATACCTAATGTTCCATGTAAACTATAATAAGGGGATATTAAGTTTTAGAGTGAAGACACCAAAAATAATTAAGAATTGAAGTTTCTTGTACAAATTTACTTTGGCACCTCTAATGATGATTTGTCATAAGTATATATATCTACATCTGGGTTTTTTTAAATATTTTTTTAAGCTGGAACAATATCTGGAGAAGAGATTCCTGTTGTTTCTAAGGCTAATATTAAGGAATACAGAGACAGCTTTTCCTGTGAAAAATTTAACTTTCGAAGCAACCCAAACATCACCTTCTATGTCTATGTCAGCAATTTCTCCTGGCCAATCAAAATACAGGTTAGTGGCTGCTTTGTACTTATAGAGATGTTGTTATTTTAGCTTTACATTGAATTTCATGCTTTTGCTTATACAGAAATTATGCAAATAATATTATTTGTATGCTTTATTTCTGTATATAAGAGTTATATTGTGATGACAGTTATTAACATGATTTTAAAGCCAGGCTGGATGGGGCCTTGAGCAACATGGTCTAGTGGAAAGTGCTGGCACCTGGAAACTAGAAGGTCTTTAAGGTCTGTTCCAACTCAAACCATTAAATAATTCTATGCTTTTGTTTTTAGTAGTGAATCAGATTTCAGGCTGTTGCTTTTAAAATCTGAAGTTAAAATTATTGAACATATGTGTTTATTTGTAGTATAACTTCAGCACAGGGTATACAAATATGTATGTACCTAGATATTTGAATGTAATCTTTTGGTAATGATTAGCTTTCTTAGCCTCTGATTTTTTTAAAATGTGGAATGACTGTATCAGATTGCAATATTGCAAACTTCAGTTAAGACTAAGTATGTTTGATTAGAATTTATGTTCTTTGGCTTCACTGGAAGCAATTTCATTCAGTATTTTCTGGAGTACTGAGACACTGTGTAGTGGCAGACTCCAAAAAATCAATGCAATCATGATTCCTCCCTGGCCTCTAAAGTTACAACAATATTTATATTTGCCATTACTAGAGCTGCATTTGTATCCCCTGCATCAATGAAGGAGCTTGTTATGTGGATAAGGAGCTTTTGACTATAACTCCCTTACAGAATTAATTCTTTAAAATTAAATTGTTAAAATGATAATAAAATTTCATAAGTCCTAGTGATCTGCTCAGGAAACCGAAACAAGCTCAAAATACTTGCCAGTTAACCAGAAATACAAATATTCTACAGATTTCCATTTTGGTGGGAAAAAGCACCCCATGTTTTTCTAAAATATGAAACCTGATTGATGTGTATATGTATATATATATATATTTATATATATATATATGAGATAAAGTCTTGGATTAAAGCAGTCATCTTCTGAGTAATTGTCAGAGAAATGTTATTACTGTGATAAGCAAAGCTAGAGTTTTCTTAATCATACAATGAATGTTCACTGTGTTACACAGTGTCGAAGGACAAATTTGTGCAGCTTTTTAACATTTATGCATATACTAGTTTATACAAAAAACCCCTGAAGGCTGACTCTTTTACTCCTACTAGGGGTATTTTGTACACTCTGTCCCAATTTCTAAGGATAGAACAAGTTCAGTGGTCAAATAGCCTTCTTAAACAAACTCGTGAAGCAATTTAAGCTGTAAACGCATCACACACTCCTTTCACCTTTACCATTGGAATGTGCCTGTATCATCACTGTAAGACAAACATTGTTAAGGTGCTGTATTCCTAAAATGTGCAGCTCTTTGTCAGATGTTGGCAGATTGCAGCTCCTAGTGCTGTTTCCATTGCAGCATAACACCTTTATGGTAATATGTTTTAATGCGTGATGAAGGGAATCCCTAATCATTGGTTACATCCTTTCTTTTTTTTTTCCCCCTTCCCCGTTCTGCCATTGTTGCACAGATTTTTTTGTATTTCTTTTTGAAGTACATTGAAATTCATCAGTCTAGACAGTTCTGCCTCAGAGGTGGTGGTGCTTGACTATTGCATTCCTTTCCTCTCCTGCTAACTTTTCATAAAAAGATTATTCCATCTAGAAAATAAGTCACTCAAATTTATTCAGCAGAAAAGGAATGCTAAGGTCCAAATGGGGAAACTGTTTCAGGATGTTAATATTGTCCTCTGTTTTCCTAAATGGACAAGATTATTATTTAACTCTCAACCTTTCTTATGCTGTTATTTGTTCTTTTCCGAGGAAATATCTGAAGTTCATATTACCCATATATATATTTCTTTTGTTTGGTGCTCTAGCAGTAGATAACATCTTCTAGTGATAAATGGAGTAGGGAGCTTTTCAGAGAGAACAAGTTTCATTTTATGTTAATTTTATGATTCTGCACATAACAGAAATTTTAAAAATATATGGATCTTCCTATGACTTAGGGTTAAGAGAGAGAAGCCATCACAGTCCAGAGGTTGAAGTTTCCAAGGCCAGTACTAAATGGGCTCATGGTTACTTTTTTTGTGTTCTTCTACATCTACGTCTTTTAGCATACCAGATTTCACCTTCAAAATATTCAAGTGGTTGATGTTAGTCTATTACTTTCTTAGTATCCATTTAAAGGATGATAATACTTAAAAAAGTGATCTTAACTGTTATACTGATGAAAAGATTCTTTGAAAGACAAGATACTGTTGATGGATTTGAGTTCTGGATTGTAATGGAGAACTATTTTAGATGATCTCTGAGTTAATTTTCAAATTGTTTAGAAAGCAGTTTCCTCAATTAGCCAACTTTGCCTTTTCATGGTGATTAGAGAGTTGGCTGTGTGTTCTATTGCAGAGTTTTGGATGCCATAGGAGCTGGCCTATGTGTAAGAGGCCTTAGACACTGAACTATTTGCACTGTAGTCCTTTTCACTAAAATGCTCACAAGCATGAGTCATATCATACTGGGTATAAATGTAGTGATATTTTATATCAACACAGTACTGAAGGCTGTATTTAATCCTGTAGTTTCCGTGAGAGGTATTCTGTTCACTGGAATAAGTAAGATAGCACTATGAAATTTGTCACATGCTTTTTCTCAAAACTTTTGTAGAGAACTAAGTCCTCCAGCACATCTAACGTTTTTCAAATACAGTCTGAGTACTAGTCTTCCATATTTCCATTATTCATCAGAACTTGTCGAGAACACATTTTATAAAGAATGAGTTCCAAAGGAAGCAGAAGTAGTGACCTTACTTCCTTTGTAACTGGTATTTGAAGTTGTCTTATTGATATGCATTTCACCACTCCTTTGGTGCCTCCTGTTATGCTGGCACTGGAGCTAAGATTACTTGGGTCTTCCATTGGGAAGGTTTGAGTTTTGGAGTTACTGCTCTTACCATTTCATTTTCTAAAGGAGAAGGAGCAGCCCTCCTCATTATACAAGACAGTTTCATTTTCTGTCAAAGTCACCTGTATTATCTCTATTTTAGCATTCATTTCTCATCAAGATTTTCATGACTATGAGGAAAAACTATAAATCCCAGCAGGTGATTGTTTATTTGAATCAATGCCTCACAGTTGCTTCCTCAAGTAGTGTTATTATTCGTGTTACCGATTCAGCAAGCTTGGATTTTTTTTTTTCCAAAATGCTGATCCCTGGTGATTCTAACACAAAATATCTTCTTTTGAAATACAATTTCTTGGCTTTGAAAAAAGTTTATGTGGTGATTGTGTCAATGAAAATAGTTCCTTAAGGTGTGCTGATCTGTGATAACTCCACTAGCAACAACCCAGTGACCCATTTTATTGTTGTCACTGGTGATCCTAATCACCTCAGAATACAAGTTCTTCAGCACTGGATAGCAGTGAATTACTTGCCAAACATAGAGACTGTATAGGAAATTCTCAGTTTCACATGTACTGCTTCTCTCTTTATAAAAATGTACTCTAGGTTCCCATTAGTCCACACCCTTGTGTCTGTGATGGCTGTGGGCACACAGCAGGGTGCTCAGGCAGGGAGAGAGCTCTGCAGCCCTGGAGGGAAAACACTGCATTTAAATTTCCTGATGCTAAAAGCATTTTATTTAGCTATAAAATATCTTTTTCCTTCAAGAAAGGAGAAGCAGAAATGTGACATAGCTGCATGAGGGGTCATTAGAAAGATGGTGATATAGGACATCTTCAGCTTAGAGCTGTTTCCACAAATAGACCTGGGTGTAATATGGGGAGGTACCAGTTTTTTCTCAGAAGTATGTAGTAGTTATATATGGGCACACAAAGGTTGGATATTTTCTGTTGAATTACTGGAACAGTTTATATCACACTTTTTCTCCATTTTTTGTAAGTAAGAGTTGACTGGAAAGTAAGGATGGATAAAGACCCTTAAGCTTAACTGGCCAGGCTTTCATGAGCACCAGTAATTTATGCATCTTTTCAGAGGAAGTCTGTATAAAGTTCAAATGTCCAAGTAAGATGACATGATTTATCATCCAGACTTACCATCTCTACTGCCTTTGACAGTCCCAACCCTTTAAGTGTACCATGTCTTATATATCAGTTAAAGAAGACTCCATGAGAAAGTGCCGTTGCCTTACACAGACCAGATTTCTAAACAGAATATGTGACAAAGCCACATAACTTGTTTCTGCTCATTTTTATTTTATTTTGAGAGTAGATGTAATTCAGATCCCACTGTTAATGGAATTTGAAGGCTGTAACATTTCTTGAAAAGCAGTAACAGACTGTAGTAGCCAGCACCTCAATAATGGTCAGTAGTACCTGAAGTAGTAAGCAGTCATAAAGCTTGGGCTTCTGACAGCTATGCAAATATTAATAACAGCAGTCACAGTGTGTTCTTCAGTCTCAGAAAACTAATTTTATGGCAAGGGATTTTTGTCACTGAAGATGGTAACAGATGTATTTTATTTTTTTCCTCATTTGCTCTCATATTCTGAGAAGTACTGACTGACTGTGGAAGAAGTAAATACCTTTAAAAAGCTGTCCTGGCTATTTTGCTGATCACTGTCCCTAAAGACAGCAATAGCATTCCTGCTTCTGGATCAGCTGCTTTCGTGCACCTCTATCTCTTTATAACTGTCAAACTTGTAAAGCTGATCTCAACTTGTGCCTGAGCAGCAAGATTTTCTACCAGTTTTAAAGCTGCATCTGGAGATAATAATAACAACTTTTCTACTAGTTATCTCCTTTCCTCCCTAAAGTGTAAATGGAAGATTCACAAGTGTCTGAATTTTAATTTGGAGGGTCATTTTAAATTATAAGTTCAACCTCAGCAGCAAAGCACTCCCTGGCAAAATTAGGTTTGCATTTAATGAAAAAAAATAAATCTTGTTATACATTTTTGAACACAGCATAGTTAATCTAACATGTTTCCACGGCATAGAACAACTATTGTAACAG